AGCCAGAACAAAACCAATCGCAATCGATAAGACCAGTAGCCACGCGGTCATGGCGACCCCAGTCATTTGAAAACCATCGGTCCACAGATAGGACTGCCAGTATTGTTGAATAATTTCAATCATAGTTGTCCCTTTTTCACACCAGCAGAATAACGACGTTCCAGCCACATGAGAATCAAATTCGAAAGGGTGGTGATGGCCAGATAAATGACGGCTGCAACAATACTGAAATAGAACACTTGCATGCTGCTTCGACCTGCATCTTGGGTAATTTTGACGATGTCGGTCAAACCAATTAAGGACACCAAGGCAGTGGCTTTGATGAGGACTTGCCAGTTGTTACCAATCCCCGGTAAGGCAAAACGCATCATTTGTGGAAAGAGGACACGCCTGAAGACTTGAAATGGGGTCATGCCATAGGCATATGCAGCTTCAAGTTGACCTTTGGGGACGGCTTGAAATGCGCCACGGAAGGTTTCAGTAAAATAGGCCCCATAAATAAAGGCTAAAGTAATCACCCCTGCCACAAAGGGATTGATGTCAATTTGCTCCATATGAATCGATTCGGTAATCGAGTTCAATCCAAGTTGCAGGCTATAGAACAACAACAACATGATCACCAGATCAGGAACACTACGAATGAGCGTGGTATAGAGGGTTGCAACATGACGTAAGATTTGAATACGAGAGAGTTTGGCACTTGCCCCAAACAATCCAATAATGATCGAAAGTACCAGTGATAACAAAGCAAGCTGTATGGTCATCCAAGTGCCACTGAGTAATACGGGACCATAGCCAGACAGAAACATACTCAGTTTCTCCGAGTAAAAATATAATATTTTATAAATCAGCAGTATATAAAAAGTGTCGGTGTTGAGCCGACACCCTATAAATTAATAAATGCTGAAGGAGAAGTATTTTTTCTCGAGTTTCTTATAGGTGCCGTCGGCAATAATTTCAGCTAACGCTTTATCAATATTCTTTTTCAGATCGACATCTTCTTTACGTAAGCCGATTGCAGCACCTACACCGAGTGTTTTGGCATCGACCACATTATTGCCTGCAAAAGCAAAGCCTTTACCTTTCGCCGATTTTAGGAAACCTGCATCGACCATAATCGCATCTTGTAATGTTGCATCTAGACGTCCCGAAACCATGTCTTGGTAAAGCACGTCTTGGTTTGGATAAGGAACCACATTCACACCTTTAGGTGCCCAATAGGCTTTTGCATAGCCTTCTTGAATCGTACCTTGTTGTACACCCACACGTTTGCCTTTTAGGGATGCAGGCGTAGGGAGTAAAGGAGAGCCTTTCTTCGCAACCATGCGGGTAGGCGTGTTGTAAATTTTATTACTAAACGCGATTTGTTTTGCGCGATCCGTAGTGACCGTCATTGAAGACAGAATACCGTCGAATTTCTTCGCTTTGAGTGCAGGAATCATTCCATCAAAGGAGTTTTCTACCCACACACATTTGGCTTTTAATTTGGCACAAATGGCATTGCCCAAGTCGATGTCAAAACCGACCAACTTATTGTCTGGTGTTTTATATTCAAAAGGCGCATACGCAGATTCTGTGCCAAAACGAATGGTTTTCCATTCTTTTGCTTGGACAGTACTGCTTAGTGCTACGGCTACGAATGTAGTGGAAAGTAGTAATTTTTTTTGCCAGTTTTTCATTTTAAATATAGCCATCCATAAAAAATCAAATCTAGGAAATAAGACGAAGATAGAACTTACCCTACTGAGTACTTTTGAATAAAAGCAACATCTATACCAGCTTTCTGCTCTTAGGGGATCGATGGATCTTGTCGCCATGAGAGATGAGGAAATAAGGGTATTTTTTCGGTTGGAATAATTTTTATCTGAGAACGTCCTGTTCATATGTTTTTATCATATTAAAAAATGAAGTTGAGACATAGCTGAAATATACCTGAAGTCTTGTGCGCTATGACGTACAGGATTGTTGATTTTTTAACAGTGGCTCAATGTTTTACAAGACTATTTTTCAGTGCTGAATAGCTCACAAATAAACTGAAGCTGAAAACAAAAAACCGAGCGATTAAGCTCGGTTTTTTGAGTCTGTAACTGATTAGATATCAGAAAGGTCGATACCTAAACGTGCAGCAACTTCTTCATAAGCTTCAACCACACCACCTAAACCTTGACGGAAACGGTCTTTGTCGAGTTTTTTCTTGGTTTCTTTGTCCCATAGACGACAACCGTCTGGAGAGAACTCATCACCAAGAACAATACGGTCGTGGAATACGCCAAACTCAAGTTTGAAGTCCACAAGTAGCATGCCACCTTGGTCAAATAAGTTTTTAAGCACTTCGTTCACTTGGTAAGTGAGGACTTTCATTTGCTCAAGTTGCTCAGCAGTTGCCCAACCTAAAGCAAT